TGGTGGGGCGGGGGCAGATCCAGGCCCCTGCAGTGAGGAAGGGACTGGGGCTGGGGCTAAGGCAGATGCTGCCCAGCCAAGGCGGGGCACAGGACAAAGCTGTGAGCAGGGGCTGGGGGGTGCACAGAGAGGAGGGTGGATCCCATTGCTACATGCACCCTGGGGGAGCCATGGGGGGTGCCCCCCCAATCTGTGTATGGGGTAAAGGCAGGCTGTTGCTGTGGGCTGCCCCGGGGGTGTGGGGCTCTTCCCAGCATGGGGGCTGGGCAAGGGCTGCACTCATGGCAGGCTATGACAGCACTGGGAGGGAGGACTACAGTGAATTCTGGGGTGGCTACAGCCCACCCTATAGCCCCCCCTCCCCACCCCAGTGCAGTCCCAGCCCAACCCCCCTACCAGGAAGAACCTGGCACTGCCTCCAGTCCCAGCCCACAGCAGCAGCCTGCCCTCACCCCGCACACAGATCAGGGGAACACACACTCTGCTTCTCCCTGTGCTCCTCAGACGAACCTCTCCTGGCTCCGTGTTGCACGCTGCCCCAGCTGGGCAGCACCTTTCTCTGCCCCAGCCCCACTCCTTCCCTAACCACAGGGGCCTTGAGCTGCCCCCCCATGCCCCTTCCCTCCCCACCACCAGACTTACCAGCCGGACACTGCTCTCCAAGCTGCATATCGGTTCGGTATCAGCCAATCCAGCTCGTTAATAATCAGCCATCAGTACTGGCCCCAAAAAATTTTTATCGGTGTACCCTTAGTTGATGCCTATTTACTCCACATAACGGTCATCAATATATAATCGGTGACTTGGACATTAGCCGGTCAGCTTATCTGAATCTTCCTGGTACATTCCAGTCAGCTAATAACTTATTTAAATGAACCTCGTATCACTGATTTGAGCCAGACCCTGACCATAGTTTAAGAGGTTATATATGGATTGTGTTAATAAAGGGCACAGTAAATTCCAAATACTCATGTGTGACCTAAAGCAGAGCTACTTGAAAAACTGACAGGATCTAAGTCTATTAATATATCTAAGCTACTTTGGTGTAAATCAGACAAAATACTGACCATATTCATAATACTTACTCATTATTTAAAATATAATTGAAAATTCTTGTAAGGAAAGTCCAGCTTGTCCCATGTGCTGTGCAGTCTTGAAATGTAATTTCATGAAGCAGAATGTGATATAAATACACATTTTTCTTTTGGGAGAGAATAAATGGGAGCACTTCTAGGAAAGTTCTTGAAATATAAATTATACCATATAGGCATTTTATTTTTCCACATGAATAAATTATTTGAATTACTGGTTTGAAAAAATATCTCTATCACTCTCACTTACATAGGAACTCCTGATATGGATCCTGTGTCAAAAAAGTGTCAGTATCTTTTTTTTAACCAATAGGAACACTTACCTGGAAAGTCATTCACTTTTTGGGTATGGCTGGAAGCAATACTGGACCTAATTAAAAAACATATTCTTCCTCTCTGGATTGATGGGTAAGCAATATACTAGCAACTGCACATTAATTTAACATGTGTCTTATTTGTCCGTTATCTTTATTAAGGTTGTATCCAGTACTTCAGAAAATAATTTTGAAAGACTAGGGAATGTTTTAGCTATGCCAGATTTTGTGCAATTATTTATTGCATGGCAAAAAGTTAATAAAGAACTTTATTGAGACCTATTTAAACTGAGTATTCATATTACTCTTTTAAAGACACAGTTAGTTTACATTAGATTATGATAAATTTTGTCATGCTCCATTGTGCTGTGGGCCCAAGGTTGTAATCCTCCACAGGTCAAACTCACTAACTTCATGTGGGTGGTCAACTTCATCTGGGTAGCTAACTTCATTTGTGAGGTCTACAAGATTGGATCATACTAAAATCAGCTTTTCACCTTGACTGGCACAAATCTAGTCTTGCTGCATAAAAGCTGACCAAGTAAATGCCATAGTCTAGATGTGATAATTATCCCAATAAATAAAGCCAGGATTTTTTTATACTCATAGGTATATAATGGGATTTGTGAGTAAGGAGAAAGAACGAATTTTGCTCAAGGACAAGATGCCTGGAACATTTTTATTAAGGTTTAGTGAAAGTAATTTGGGAGGAATTACCTTCACCTGGGTGGACCACTCAGAAAATGGTAAGTGCAATTTAAAGCGCACAAATAAACAAGGCAGAACTCAACGTCCTAGTAATTTGTCAGGAGCATTACCTGTCGTAAAGGGAACACAGATTGTTTTAATATTCACATTAATATGTTGCAACCATCTCAGACAGTTTTGAAGAGGACTGTGTATCACATCACAGTCCTGTTTTGAGGCCAATATTATTGTCTTATAAAATAAAAATTAAAACCCTTCAGATACATGCAACAGTCCAGATATTTTTATGGAGTGTAAATCAGCATCATTCAGCTAAAATCAGTGGGTTGTGTCAGTTAATACCACATGATCTGACCCTGTATGTTTTACTAATTACCGTTCCCAGTGGATTCTGACCTGAAAATGATAGGCTAATGCAGTTATTTGAAGTAAACAGGAAAGGCTTCTGTTGGGTTCAGCTGGAATTGCATCTGTTTACTCCAGGGAAAAATTTGGCCCACTGTGTGCAAGAAGGCTTTCCATAATAATTTGAGTGATATGAATCCTGCATTATGTATAAATTCAAGCCAACCTTAAGTGTGAAAGAAAGGTGAAGCGTGTTGCTGATTATGACTGGCAAGCTATTTGCCTATTAACAATTCTGCTCTTCATATCATGCAGGAGAAGTAAGATTCCACTCAGTGGAACCCTATAATAAAGGTCGTTTAACTGCACTACCATTTGCTGACATTCTGCGGGATTACAAAGTTATTATGGCAGATAATGTTCCTGAAAACCCTCTGAAATATCTGTATCCAGACATCCCCAAAGATAAAGCTTTTGGCAGATACTACAGCTGTCAGCCAAATGAAGGTTAGGCTTTGTTTTCTATGTTTAATGTTACTTTTTAAAAATTATAAATTCAGAGAATACTAAAAAATGTTTTTATGCGGAAAACAGATTTAGATGCCTCTGTAAGAACTGTACCTGCTTTTTTTGTTTACCGTAACTGTCTCTTGTTTAGATATGTTGTCCTAGGAATTTATTATCTAAGCATAAGGCAGAAAAAGAAGAACTGGGGTCTTTTTTCTACGTTTATACAACATCTAGCACAGGAGTAGGCAATCCCCAGCACAAAGATGTAGTACCTTGGGGCAGACGGCAGAGAAAGGGCTGGTGCTCTGCTGCCACAACAAGGACTGGGCCCCTCATGGCTCTCCTGCATCAACATCTTACAAGTTGAGGTTGTAGGTATTTTTGGCACTGCCCAAAACCACTGCCAACCCCTGAACTAGCACAATGGGATTGTGATCTGTGATCCCTCAGTGCAACTGCAATACAAACACCAAACAATGACACTCATAGAGAGGCTAAGAAATACATCTCACTGTAAAAGCAGTAATATTGTAGGAAGTCCATTCTGTTTACAGTTCACAAAAATAAATGTATTTTCAAATAATATTTCTGTGCCAGTTTTAGACAAGTTCTTTTCTGTATATATTTTGTATATACATCATAAACCTGCAATAAAAATATAGTATCTGTCTTTTCTTAGAAAAAGAACATTCATCTGGATTGGTATGTTACCATGAATGGATACAACTTCAGATGATTCAGTGGTCCTCTTATGCCAATGTGAAATTTGGTTCCTAGACAATATTCAGAGACGAATATTTGGGAGTCTTTCATTTTAATTTAGTGAGCTTAGGCTCCGGTACTCTGAAAACACATACATAGGTTTAACTTTATGTATGTGAGTAGCCTCACTGAAGTCTATATATATATGTGTGTGTATATATATATATATGCATATTTGGGTTTTTGGATTGGGAACTAAAGGCTGAAACATGCAAAAACTTTAGCATGTAACTCCAGTCACTTAAGTAGTCTCCATAACTTCAAAGAACATAAGTGAGTATAGTCACTTACGTACAGAAGCCCCTCCAGGATCAAGCCTTATCTTGGCAATTTACTCTGTGTATAGCCATCTGTTCATTGCCTACTTGTAATTAAATAACTTTTTATGTTTCCTTTTTAAGCCCCTATTGTTTGCAGATTTTAAAATATTTGTATCAAATATCAGTAGATACTAAGAACAAAAACTTTAGAACATTTATCTTTTCTAACTTTCTTTCGTTTTAGTCTCAAGACCTACAGAAGGAATCAAAGGTTATGTTCCCTCTGTATTTATCCCAATCTCCAAAATGTAAGTAAATCTCAGAGCACCTATGTACTTTGAGTGTTATTAAGTAAAACTACATGCACTTTCCCCACCTCTTTCCTTTTTTATACCATTTTCCCCATGGATAGACCTGCTCATGACAACACAAAGATATACGGCCTTCATTTTTCCAGTCCAGAGACAAGAAGGACTAGCCAGAAGTGCTCAGTGTAAGACAGGACTAAGTAAAAGTAAAGTGGGCATTGGGCCACCTTATGCTCTCATATTCAGGATGTTGTTCAGGTGTTGGGAAAGGCATTCTGTATAAATTAGTATAGTATTTATGTTACTTTAATCTATATCATCTTAAAATAACCTTCAGGAGCCATTACAGAGCTGGGCTTCAAAATTCTTTCCTTTATCACAACTCTTATCTCAAGAGACCAGAAGGTGGTAGTGATGTAGCAACAATTCTGTCTCACCTGAGTATGTCCCTATGCAGGCAGAATTGGCAAAATAAACTTTTTTTAGGACTCCTTTGGCCTGCTGGAATAGAATAAAGTGTACAATCTTCCATTAAAAGTATGACCCTTTGCTGTCTAATAAGAAACTGGCATACATTCATACAGTAATCACTGGGCCCCTTCATTGGTAAATCAGTTAAATTTGTAGACAGGTCCACTATAGAATAGTAAGTGCAGGTCCTGCATCCCTTGTTGATGCAGTAAACTACAATGGGATTTCTTCCTAGTATTTCCAAGTCATTTTAAAGATTATTTTTCTTTGTTTTTCTTTTAAGCCTAAATGATTCCACAGATCCACATTCTCCATCAGATCTTCTTCCCATGTCTCCAAGTGTTTATGCTGTGCTGAGAGAACACCTAAGTCCCACAGTAATTGAAACTGCTGTATGTGGAAAGTTTTTCTATTCATAATTTTTATACAAAGTAGATGGGTTACATAACACGGAAAGTAAAAATCCCAGTTGGGAGAAATGCTGCTTGTGCAATGCCAAGGGTTAATTTTAGTTATCACTGTTAAAAATATATATCTCAGCACTAGTTATTATACAGTGAAAAGGAAGATAACGCTGTTATTTCCTACTGTGAATGGAGAAAAATTATGTGGTATGTTAGAAAACTGTGTATGGTAGGAAATGGAGTCTTTTTCATAGGCACTATAGTACTGTGAATTTTATACAGGCAACCCCCGTTTAACACTGTTTCACTTAGTGCTATTTCGCTATAACACTCATTTAAAATTGATACCTGATTTCACTTAGCACTCAGCAAGATTCATTATAATGCTCATGGTTGCCATCTTGGGTCATTAAAAACAACTGCGGTTGCCATCCTGGGTCGTCAAATACTTTTGATTTCGCTTAATGCTCATTTTGCTTAACACACTGTTTTTCAGGAACCAATTAAGAGCACTAAGTGGGGGTTGCCTGTATCTTAGACATTTTCCATGCAAGGATCTCAAACTTCTTTACATACATTAATTTAAGTCTCAGCACGCTTTATACCACAGCTGGTGTAATAGAGTTCAACCCAAAGTCAGCTACACTACCTTATAACAGTGAAGGGTCTAACAGGATGTTATCAGGGAAACACAACACTCTTGGCTTAAAAGATTTATAAGAAAACTTCCTGTTTTGAACCCAGGATTACATTACATATATGCATTCAGTGATTTATGATCTAACACTGCTTATGTCTTTAAGGCATTCAGTTCTCCTTCAAAGGAGCTTTTTTAAAAACACACAGAACAGACTGTGGCAGAATTGAAACTACCCAAAGGGCATGCCTACATAGCATTACAGAGTGTTAGGAGGGCCACCCTGAAAACCACCTGCATGCTTGCTTGAAAAAATATGCTATGTATCTGCTCTCATGAGCACACCCAATACTGAAAACCTGTGAGTGGCTGTAGGCATGTGCCAGAAAGTAGCTACATGACATTGTTTCTGAGTAGAAACAAGTAGACGGAGCATGTGTTTATGGCAGCACTCTTTAGCACCTTCTGATGCAGTGTAGGCATGTCTGTGGCTCCTGACACTGCCAACCTCCTGGTGTAGAATCATGGTTTGTTAATGCAAAGCAAACTGAAAGGTTACCGAAGAAGCCAAATATATTCCTTTTCTGTACTCCGTCTTTCCCCAATTAGCACCCTTATCACCTAACTAAAAACAACCCCGGGATTTCAAAAACAACCCAGATTATTAAAATACCAGTTTTCTTTAAAATTCCAGGTTTAAAGATCACTGTCCCTTTCAAAATTATTTTTTAAGTCTCCTGATTGATATTATTAACTTTGTATTATTTGTGTCAGGAGTATTGCAGAATTCTAAACTGCTTTATTTATGCTGTTGCTGAACTTTCATTTCACTTAGCATTAAGTTAGTTTAATGTTTTGTTTATAGTCAGAGATTTCTGGAAACTAGTTCTTCCAATGTAACAACAGGACTCAAAAAGTATTCCTGACCTACAACATGTCTGCAGTGCTCACTATATTCCTTTGTATCTTCTCCCTTGATCCCTTTGGTGGATTGTTTAGGATCACAGGATCATAGGAAAGTAGGGCTGGAAGGGACCTCAAAAGGTCCAGCCCTTGCCCAGCCCTCTGCTCAAGGCAAGATCATCCCTGACTAAATCACCCCAGCCAAGTGTTTGTCCAACCTGCTCTTAAATATTTCCAAAGACGGAGATTCCACAATTTCTCTTGGCAGCCTGTTCCAATGCTTGAACATCCTCATGGTCAGGAAGTTCCTCCTAATCTCCAACCTAAATTTCCTCTGCTACAGCTTAAAGCTCCTGCTCCTACTTCTGTCTCCTATGGTCACAGAGGAAAGCCTAGCCCTATCTCTATTCTCTCTATGATCCTTCTTCAGGTATTTGAAAATGGTTATCAAATCCCCACTCAGTCTTTTCTTCTTCATACCAAATAATCATAGTTCTGTCAGCCTTTCTTCCTAAGTCTTGCTTCCCAGGCCCTTCTTCACTGGACTCTACAATCTGTCCACGTTCTTGATGTGTGGGTCCCAAAGATAGACACAGTCCTCCAGGTGAGGCCTCACCAGTGCTGACTACAGCAGAAATGTTTAGGTTGAGAGGAAGAGAAACAGGATCTGAGGGGGACAAATAACTTGCTGATGGAATGCCTGGGTACTTCTAAATAGTGTGGGGCAGGTTGCTGGGTTATGCTGGAAATGCTGATTAGTCTGGGTTCTGGTCAGAGGCTCGTGGGAATCAGGGAAACTGAACTCTGGCCTTTGCAGGTTTAATTAAACACTTCATGTTTGACTCAGTGCAAGTGGGAATGTTAGCAGAGTTCACAAGAGTTGTCTTAAATCATGGCCAAACCACACTCTCAGCAGCAAGCTTTAACAGTCAAATCAAATGGGTCTCTCCACCTTTGAAAGGGGAGGAGATCACAATGCAGGGCATAGAAGATTAGAGTGAGAAGCTGCAGTGGCAAGGCAGGAGGGCACACTCCAGGTCACATTATAGATTTTTAACAGCACCAGCTTTTGACAGTTTTCCGGCAAGCCCCTAATCCACCTAAGAGACATGATATGCATTTTAAGAATCCTGTTATACTGAGGCTTGGGCCTCAAGGACCACAGAAAAGTGTTTACATTTAAGAAGTTATTTATGGTGTACTCCCTTACCCACACAATATATTCAAACAAAAAAAGGACCTAAAAACAATTAAACAGTGTTAGACCAGTGATTCTCAACCAAGGTGTTTTGGCACCCTGGGGTGCCTTGAGGTTCTTTCAAGGGTGCTGCAGGGTCCATGCAATGTTACCACTGTTAGATGTGCAAACATGACTCCCGAGATAAACCTAGAGATTTCAAAGAGGAATCCATAGGGTTGTGGTCTTTCTGAGTTCTTTGCAATGGAATAATTGCTTTATTATTTTTCTGTAGTCAAAAAACAGGTATAAACTAAGAGCTGGCTTTTTCCAATGGGTGCCTTGAGTCTAAAAACATTTAGAAAGGGTCTAGAACAGGGAAGCATTACATGCATTAGCATTTTAGCTGTTTGCACTATGACTGCCAACTGTAATGGCAATTCCCTTTAGAAATACGGGACTTGATTTGCATTTTTAATGGGCATCAATAACTACCTTACAGCTGTGTCTCTCTTCTTCTCTTCTAGCTGAGTCCTCCATATTCAGCTGACTGAAGTTCTGATACACTGAAGAACAAGGAAGCCTATGAAAAATGAAAATGTTATTTTAAAAAAAAAGTAAATTTTGCTTTGTACATAACTGTTTCCTGGAAGCCAACACAATGCTCTTTCTGGGGCTTACGTCCACTTTCAAATCCATATGATCAGTCTCCATACTGAAGTCAATGGAGTTATGAATGACTGCGGCACCTTTTGGAGCTTGGCCTGCTACCCTCTACTCATGTGAGCATTACTGTGGAAGTCAATAGGCCAAATCCTTCTCTGACATGTATGTTAGGTGTGCATTTTGGTTTATGAGAATTAGGGATCACTGAAAATAGGACTTAATGTAGAATGAAAAAATTGGAAAGCAAAGTATTAGACTAACTGAAGAGACTTTAGATGTTTTCAGAAAACTGGGGAGTTTGTTGTTTAGCTTTTTGTTATAACGTCTCGTTTTTGGTTCTTATTTTAATTAAAGGTCTTTGTTAGGCTGATTAACTCACAGACGTCATCAGTCAGTCTTTCCTGCCATGAACTTTTAGCTCAAGGCTAGATTTTATCTTCCTGAAGTAAAACCCCTTGTGGAGGGAAAGAAGGGGAAGAACAGAAGCCTGGAAAGTGAAGACAGCTCTAGAAACTCTACAGGCACTAAATTTTAGAGGTCACAATCTCCTTTTGTCTATAGTATGCATTTGGGAGGCTTTATTAACTGCTTTACAGTTTTGCGGGACAGTTGTGAAGCTAAATCTGTTCATTAGAAAAGCCTAGAAAGAACAAAAGCAATCCTTATTCAATACAGGGTTTGGATGTTCTTGCTGTGCAATAAATGAAGCGTTGGGGGCACACTTTAAATGATAACAAGAATGCTGAGTAGCTTCTTCAGTTGCTGAGCACTAACCAACTTGTGTATATATCTGGTGACAAGTTACAAAGGGCCAAATGCCCTAGGATATAGATAAAAATTAGAGGTTGCACCAATACATTAGTCTGATATTGGATTGGTACTGATATAAAACAAAACTGGCTGTATTGCATATTGGCTCAATGGGGCCGAAAATTTGGCCGATAAATGCCCATGCTGCACGCAGCCACAGCGCAGCACTCGGGCACCAAGGACCACAGCTGCCAGCATGGAGAGCTGGCTCCAGCTGCTAAGTCGAGTGTGGTGGAAGGGGAGGGGAAAAGGAAGGGGCATGGTGGGGGGCAGATCAGTGCCCCCCATAGTGAGGGAGGGTGCTGCCTGGGGGGCGCTGAGGCAGGTCCCGCCACTGCTTGAACCCTGTGAGGGCATGGAGAAGGGGTGTGTGGCCCCTGGATCTTCATGGGATGGGGTGGGCTGCACCGGTGGCTGTGCGGAGCTCTTCTCAGCAGGGGCTGGGTTCAGAGCAGGCACCAGCAGCACTGGGAGGATGCTGCATCCACACCAAATTTCACCACCACTCTGCTCCCAGCGCTGCCACTGTCAGGTGTCCAGCAAAGCCCCAGCTCAATGCCCCGCTTCCACCCATGCGCCGGAAAGAGCCGGGACTGCGGTGGGCAGTTGGCAGCAGCAGTGCTGGGAGTGAAATACAAGGTAGATGC